GGAGGATGGGGATACTACACTGATGTCTAGATTCTTGGAGAGAATCTGATTCATTGATGGTCCAAAATTCCAGTCATTGACATGTGTTAGACTGTGAAACCAGGGCTGCTGCCACACAACAGAAATAATGCAGTTTGACACCATTTTAACTTTCATGACTCAGTGCTATGGAATCCTGGGATTTGTAGTTTGCTGGGTCACCAGAGCTTTCTGACAGGGAAGGCTGACTATTTCACCAAACCACATCCCAGAATTTAATAGCATTGAGCCATGGCACTTAAAGTGGTGTCAAACTGCTTTATTTCTGCAGTGTGGTAGCAGCTGAAGATAACAATAATAAATCAGACACTGATAGAAATGTTAGGAGAGGCAAATCATACATTTGGAGCCTGAGAGTCTGCATCTGCTCTGCAGAAATCCAGCTTGATACCATTTTAACAGCCATGGCTCAATGCTATGGAATACTGGGATTTGTAGTTTGTTGTGGCACCAGAGTTCTCAGAGATGGTTTAATGCAGGGGTAGGCAACCTTTCCCCTTTAAGGGCCGAGGGACTTCAGCTCCCAGAAGCCTCAGCCATGTTGGCCAATAGTCCCATGTTGGCCAATAACTCCTGGGATTCTGGGAACTGAAGTCCCTCAGTCCTTAAAGGGGAAAGGTTGCCTACCCCTGGTTTAATGTCTCAAAAAACTATAATTCCCAGAATTCCATAGCATTGAGCCATGACAGTAAAGTGGCATCAACCTGGATCATTTCTGCAGTGCAGATGCAGCCTGGGTATTCCAACAGTGAAGAAGTTACATTTTGATCTGGAAGACCTGGGTGCAATCTTCTCTTTGCTGTGAATTCATTCTTCACCTTCAGCAGACCTACAGACTGCCAGAAATAATGCAGCTTGAGGCCACTTTAACTGCCCTGGCTCAATGCTAGGGAATCATGGGAAATGTAGTTTATGGTGGCACTCTGAGAGAAAGCTCAATGTCTCAGAAAAAACTACAGTTCCCATGATTCCCTAGCATTCAGCCAGGACAGTTAAAGTGGCCTCAAGCTGCATTATTTCTGGCAGTCTGTAAAGGCCCTTAGGTTGTGACAGGTATATAGAGATGCAACATGGGCCTTTGGATATGATCCATATCCAAGGGTCCATGTTGCATCTCTATATTTTAAAAGCTACTGACCCAGCAAATGTATCATTCTTCTTCATAGAGATGCAAGATCTTCCAGAGATGCAAGATGGGCCTTTGGATAGGGATAGTATCCAAAGGCCCATCTTGCATTTTTATATTTTAAAAGCTAAATTTTGTGGCAGCAGCAAAAGAAATGTGGAAGGAAGGATGCAGCTGCAGAACACCAGAAATTAAGCTTCCCATCTGGCTGCCAGCAGAGGGTGGAATAGGACTAATCATAAAAGCTCTCTCTAAAACCTGTAAAGGGGAAGGAAACAGAAGTGTCAAGAGTTACAGCTGAGCTGGTCTCTCACTGTAGGCCATAACACAGGGTGTGTGTGTGTGTGTGTGTGTGTGTGTGTGTGTTGTTTGCCTTCAGGTATTCAGGCAATTCTTGACTTATGGTGACCCTAAGACACAAGGATTTCATAGCAAGTTTCTGCAGAGAGAGTTTGACATTGCCATCCTCAGAGGCTGAGAGAATGTGACTTGCCCAAGGTCATCCAGTGGGTTTTCATGGCCAGGCAGGGATTCGAACCCTGTTCTCCAGCGTTGTGGTCCAACACTCAAACTGCTATGCCACACTGGCTCATTGTATTCCCTTTTAAAGACCAGAATCTATAGCTCTCATGGATGA